CAAAAAATTGACATATTTATTGATATAAAATTAATATACATTTTGTGATTTTATTTGGGAATAAATTAATAAAAAACAAAATAACCCCATCCTTTCCTCCAGAGCCAGGCACTTCCATACTCCCATTCTAACTCAATCCCTGTCTACTCCCCCAGAGCCAGGCCCCCTCCATCTAATGCCTCCCCCGCTTCCCCAGAGCCAAGCACTCTCAGCTTCCCAACCTAATGCCTCTACCCTCCCCTATAACCAGGTACTTCCTGCCCCCCCCCAACCTAATACCTGGGTCCTGGAGTCGACATTGCCGTCTGAGGAACTGGGGTGGTGTGAGCACAGTGGTCAGCTATGAGCACCTGTTGAAGAGCTCAGCGCAGAGCGCCCAGCCGGCCATGAGCGTGTGCGCAGAGCAGCCTGGCCGGTTGAGTGGCCAGCAGGCCGCACTTCATTCTTTTATAAAAATGTTCTGGTGGGCCACAAAAAATTTTGATTGGGTCACATGCAGCCCCCCAAACGCCAGTTTGACATGCCATGCCTGCTCTATGACATCATCTAAATTGTTGATGAAGATATTGAACAAAATCAGTCCCACAACTGCCCCTGCAGAACCCCACTTGTTATGTCCTTCTGGCATGACTGTGAACCATTAATAACTACTCTCTGAGAACGGTTATCCAGCCAGTTATGCAACATATTCTTATGTTCTTATGTTCACCTTATATTGCCCCATCGGGGTTGCATTTCCCTAGCTTATTGATAAGAAGATCACGTGAAACTGTATCAAACACATTGCTAAAGTCTAGGTATACCACATCCACCTCTTCTCCCTTATTCACAAGACTCGTTATCCTATCAAAGAAAGCTATCAGATTGGTTTGACACGATTTGTTCTTTACAAATCCATGCTGGCTGTTACCTATCACCTTATTATCTTAATTATGTGTTCTATTATCTTTCCTGGCACAGATGGTAAGCTAACTGGTCTGTAGTTTCTTGAGTTGTTCTTATTTCTCTTTGTGTAGCTGGGCACTAGATTTGCCCTTTTCCAGTCTCTTCTGGAATCTCTCCCAACTTCCATGACTTTTCAAAGCTGATAGCTAAAGGCTCAGATACCTCCTCTATCACCTCCTTGAGTATTCTAGGATGCATTTCATCAGGTCCTGGTGACTTGCAGACATCTGACTTCTCTGGGTAATTGACTTTTAAATCTACCCCATTTCTACTAGCACTCACTATGTTAGGCATCCAGTCACTACCCGCCTTGTTGGTGAAAACCAAGAAGTTGTTGAGGGAGATGTTGAAGAGAGTAGGGCCTGTGACTGCAGTAGAAACACACCTGTTTGCTGACCATTCCCAGTTCCATTCAGAGACCAATCAGTTCAGTGGTACAGAAACATTTTTAACAGTGGAGGTGCTGAAATTCAGCCCCTTTACTCCTATCCACCCCCACCTCCATCATCTGAAGCCAGGAGCAGCCGGGACCAGCGTTCCCTGTAAGCTGGGCGCTTGTTTAGTGCTCAGGAGAGAGTCAAATGCCACCCAGCTGATTAGCAGAGTACCCACAGCTAGGTTTGTGTTTCTCCCGGTGATGCACATTCACATATGCCTCAGTGTACATAAAAATTTATTTTACATAAGAACATAAGAACGGCCGTACTGGATCAGACCAAAGGTCCATCAAGCCCAGTAGCCTGTCTGCTGACAGTGGCACCAGGTGCCCCGGAGGGGGTGGACCGAAGACAATGATCAAGCGATTTGTCTCCTGCCATCCTTCTCCAGCCTCTGACAAACAGAGGCCAGGGACACCATTCCTACCCCCTGGCTAATAGCCTTTTATGGACCTAACCTCCATGAAATTATCTAGCTTCTCTTTAAACTCTGTTATCATTCTAGCTTTCACAGTCTGCTCTGGCAAGGAGTTCCACAGGTTGACTACACGCTGTGTGAAGAAGAACTTTCTTTTATTAGTTTTAAACCTGCTACCCATTAGTTTAATTTGGTGTCCTCTAGTTCTTCTATTTAGGGAACTAATAAATAACTTTTCTTTATTGGCCCTCTCCATACCACTCATGATTTTATATACCTCTATTATATCCCCCCCTTAGTCTCCTCTTTTCTAAACTGAAACGTCCCAGTCTCTTTAATCTCTCCTCATATGGGACCCGTTCCAAACCCCTAATCATTTTAGTTGCCCTTTTCTGAACCCTTTCCAAGGCCAAAATATCTTTTTTGAGGTGAGGAGACCACATCTGTACACAATATTCAAGAACCACATCTGTACACAGTATTCAAAATGTGGGCGTACCATAGTTTTATACAGGGGCAGTAAGATATTCTGTGTCTTATTTTCTATCCCTTTCCTAATAATTCCTAGCATCCTATTTGCCTTTTTGATGGCCGCTGCACACTGCGTGGAAGTTTTCAGAGAACTGTCCACGATAACTCCAAGATCTCTTTCCTGATTTGTCATAGCCAAATTAGCCCCCATCATACTGTACGTATAGTTGGGGTTATTTTTCCCGATGTGCATTACTTTACACTTATCCACATTAAATTTCATTTGGCATTTTGTTGCCCAATCACTCAGTTTGGTGAGATCTTTTTGGAGTCCCTCACAGTCTGTTTCTGTCTTGACTATCCTAAATAGTTTGGTATCATCTGCAAACTTTACCACTTCACTTTTTACCCCTTTCTCCAGATCATTTATGAATAAGTTGAAAAGGATTGGTCCCAGGACTGACCCTTGGGAGACACCACTAGTAACCCCTCTCCATTCTGAAAATTTATGATTTTTTTTTTGCACATGGATGGAAAAAACCCGCACATACATGGAAAAGTTTAGAGGGAACATTGGCTGGGACCTTGGGTGCAGGGCTGACTGCAGAGCACTTGATGTACAGGGCACCAGCTGGGACTCCAGGCACTAGCCCTCCCCACATGTGTAATCAGTTAGCCAGTTCTGGGTCCATCCCATGCGTGCCTTGTTCATTTTATATTGTTCTGGCGTTTGCACCAAAAAGTTGTGCCATATCCAGTCAAATGTCTCACTGAGGCTTTAGTCCACTGGTCAACACAACCCCCGTTGTTACCCGACTTGTGGTATCATCAGATAAAGAAATCAGGTTAGTCAGACAGGCCTTGTGTGCCATAAACCCACTGGTCTCCTAGCAGTGCAGGGCTGGAGGAGAGGCAGGGTGACCCCATGTCTCATTGTAAATGGGACAGTCCCTTTTTTAAGATTTGTTCTGTCCATCCTACCTTTTTGGCAAAAGTGGGCATCTGTCCTGTTTGCTGTTCTCTCATAAACAAGGCAAATGCCCAGTTTTGTCAAAAAATTGTGGTGCAGAGGAACATGTGTGGGGGAGAGGGGCAGGAGGGGGAGGCGTGAATGACTATCAGGAGTGCCAATTAAAGGGTCTACTCACCCTAGCCCAGACAGCTCTTACCTGCAACACAACCTGAGTGTGACTGGGATGGATTTGGAAGCTAAATGCAGCAGGGCCTGTGCAACAGGGAGTTAGTAGACAGAGGCCTGAGGGACAGGGGAATGGGATTAAGATAGTAAATGGCTTGTCATTAAATTGAACTAAGGATCATTAGCTAATCCAGAAAGCACTGCCAGGCACGCCAGTGAAAAGATAGGAATCAAAGTGTAGCAATAACTGGAGAGAATGGAAGAAGTGACTAGCCATGTCCCCCAGGGATCATGCAGAGACCAGCACTGTTCAACGCATTCACCAGTGCTCTGGGAAAAGAGAGAAACACTGACCTGGCAGGAGTTCACTTGCTCTGGGCCCCCGGGGGCCTTCACTTGCACTGTGGCCGGCTCCATCTACATGGCAGGTATTTGTCAGCAGTGAGTATGCCAATGGAGCGCTCATTAGCATTTGTCATGCTGTCATTTGCATATTCTCTGCTGATGCTTTTTGCACAAGAGGTTTTTGCACAAAAACGAGCAGTGTGGATGGGTCCATTTTGCGCAAAAAGCCTCTTTTGTGCAAGATCCTGTAAACCTCATTTTTGAGGCATAAGGGATCTTGTACATTGCCTAAGAGCAACAGTAATTTGTCAGCAGTCCCCATCCCATCTCCTCCTCTCTCATCTCCAGCATCTTTTGCCCACCAGCAGCCCCACCGATAAGGGCCCCCTCTTCCTTCAGGAGGCTCTGCAGGGGAGGAAAGGAGCAAGGGCACAATATACCTGGAGGAGGAAGTAGAGCCAGGAGTTGAGTACTGGAAATTTGGCACCTGTAGCTGCAGCCCTGGAGTAGGTGCCTGAGCAAGCATATTCACTTCAGGAAAGCCACAGATGTCTCTAGATTCGCCACCCCTTATTTTGCATAATGTACCCTTATTTCTCTTCTGGAATATCTACTGCTGTGCATCATGGGACACATAGTGTAGACAGGCATCCTGGACTGTAGAAGGAAGGTGGAAACATGAGACATCTGAACTAAAACTTCCCATAAACCAGTGCGATGGCATTTTCCAAGTGAAATGGTTAGTGGTTTGATTTGTCATAAAAAAAATTCCACAATCAGTTCCCTCAAAAGTTTCAATAGAACCTCATCCTGCTGTAACACACACAAATACTGAGTGTCTGAGCTCAGCTGTGATTTGTGCATCCCCTGTGCACCAAGCCACCCGGCTAGAGACAAAGGAATTTGGAAATGCTGTTTTAGTTTGGGACAGAGCTGCACTTGGGCCTGTTTGAATTACCCCTAACCCTACCCTGTGACTCCATGAGACACATGGCATTTCAAGAATTTCAAAAGTAAACATCAGGATACTAGAACGCTTAGAAGAGTCAACATTTCACAGAGCAGGGCTCTACACTTACACCGTAGCAGAGCTGTCGCTCCATGATTATGTATCGATGCCCTCGCTCTCCTTATGTCTGTCCCCAGACACCCCATTTATTTACTCTTACACAACCTTAAACCCACCATTATGGAGCTGACTGTAAAAAATATATTCTAACCAAAACCTCTGCATACCTGCCCACAGCTAGCACATCCCCGACAACACTTACCAGCTCATCAGAAACTGCAACTTCAGTTGATGTCACCACGTCAGCAGGCACCACCATGACCAGGAATGTCACCCCCACAATCTCACTGGAAACCACCAGCACCCCGGATGTCACGACGTCAGGGGAAACAGCCATGACATCTGATGTAACAACCACCACATCAGTGGAATCAACAATGATCACAGATCACACCACCATTACCTCGAGAGAAACTACCCTGTCCCCACATGTCACCAGCTCAGCAGAAACTGCAACATCGGGTGAAGTCACCACGTCAGCGGGCACCACCATGCCCCCTGATGTCACCCCCACAATCTCACTGGAAACCACCAGCACCCCGGATGTCACCATTTCAACAGAAACTGCCATGACATCTGACGTAACAACCACCACATCAGTAGAATCAACAATGAACACAGATCACACCACCATTACCTCGAGAGAAACCACCCTGTCCTCACATGTCACCACCTCAGTAGAAATTACAACTTCAGGTGATGTCACCATGTCAGAGGGTACCACAATGCCCCCTGATGTCACCCCCACAATCTCACTGGAAACCACCAGCACCCCGGATGTCACCACATCAACAGAAACTGCCATGACTTCTGATGTAACAACCACCACATCAGTGGAATCAACTATGATCACAGATCACACCACTATTTCCTCGAGAGAAACTACCCTGTCCCCACATGTCACCACCTCAGCAGAAACTGCAACTTCAGGTGATGTCACCACGTCAGCGGGCACCACCATGCCCCCTGATGTCACCCCCACAATCTCACTGGAAACCACCAGCACCCCAGATGTCACCATTTCAACAGAAACTGCCATGACATCTGACGTAACAACCACCACATCAGTGGAATCAACAATGATCACAGATCACACCACCATTACCTCGAGAGAAACTACCCTGTCCCCACATGTCACCAGCTCAGCAGAAACTGCAACATCGGGTGAAGTCACCACGTCAGCGGGCACCACCATGCCCCCTGATGTCACCCCCACAATCTCAGTGGAAACCACCATTACCCCGGATGTCACCATGTCAACAGAAACTGCCATGACATCTGACGTAACAACCACCACATCAGTGGAATCAACTATGATCACAGATCACACCACCATTTCCTCGAGAGAAACCCCCCTGTCCTCACATGTCACCACCACAGCAGAAACTGCAACATCGGGTGAAGTCACCACGTCAGCGGGCACCGCCATGCCCCCTGATGTCACCCCCACAATCTCAGTGGAAACCACCATTACCCCGGATGTCACCATTTCAACAGAAACTGCCATGACATCCGACGTAACAACCACCACATCAGTAGAATCAACAATGAACACAGATCACACCACCATTACTTCGAGAGAAACCACCCTGTCCTCACACGTTACCACCTCAGCAGAAACTGCAACGTCGGGTGAAGTCACCACGTCAGCGGGCACCACCATGCCCCCTGATGTCACCCCCACAATCTCAGTGGAAACCACCATTACCCCGGATGTCACCATTTCAACCG